GGATCATCCTCTAAGGGAATCGCTTTTTAATTTGCTTCAGTGTACGAGCATCATCACTGGAGCAGAAATATTTCTCCTGTGGTTCAGAATTTATGATAGAAAATCAAAGTGTAACCGCTCCTCAGATCATTAAACAGTCATGGACATAAAAATGGAAACAGATTTAAAATAGAAGCCAACAACAAAAAAAAACATACCTCAGCATCTAACGCAGGGAGTTCAGGATTAAAAACCAGTTATGTGCCACTTTGGGGTACCACATGTTTTAAGGAGAAATAGTAATATGCCGGTAAAGATCTCCTGTTTGGATGCTTTGTGGGGGGAGGGGTTCAAAATGTAAATATAAATATAAATATACTGCATGTTGAACTTTTGTATTAAGTCATTCGATCAGTACACACACAGAAAAGATCTGCCACAGTAGAGATTTTAGAGTTATGATTTCTGAAGTACACACACACACATTAATCACATATATCAGTTATGCCGATGAATCACAGGTGACACACAAAAACTGTTGCAAACACACGCACACGTCTATAAATTCACTGTTACAACCTACGCATGTTAGCAGCTGACTTAGAGCTATCACAGCTATCACTCGTCCTCCTTTCGGTGTTTAATATTTAATGAGCAGAGAGCAGATTTATCAGGACAGAACGAGGACATTTTTTAATTCAGCTGCACTCTTGTTCAACATCAGACTATTAACCTTATTCAAATTAGATAGAGCCCTGGTATACCAGCATTAATACACTGTATACCTGTGAAGGCAGCACAGCAGGGCCATGATATCTTCTCATTTATTATAATGTAAAACTGTTTGGGGCCAGGTCAGCCAAAAAACAACTTAACTCATCAGGTCATTTTATAAACAGGAACTGAAAATAATGGTTCCAAAATCAGTTAGATGGTACCACTGTCATCATTGCCAGTAATATGATTTACTTAGTTTTGCAGATTTGTAAACCTTATTTCATAAAAAGTGTAAACAGCCTCGCTATAGAAACAATCTGTCAGCTGAGACAAACCAAACAGAGAAATTAGAACGAGGGCTACATCGGGTGGAAACTGTAGAGCACCAAAACACAAAACTACATGTGGCCCTTCTCGGTAAGAGGAACACACCTCTGGAACATATTACCGTCTGAAATTTAAAAAAAACTGACAGAGTTCAAGGTTTTTAAGACACATGTGCAGCAGGGGCTGAAACTGAAGCAAGTCTGGGAGCTCTGACTGTGCTTCCTCTTTTAACCCTTCTTCTTCTTCTTTTATTGTATTGTAAATTCTTCATTTGTGTTTATTGTAGTGTTTTTATAATGCTTTATGTTTCAGTGCTTAAAGCCTATACTAGCCAGGGACAGGGGTTTGCAAATTAGCCACGGCTAGAAACCTGGTATGTATTTGACCTATGAAGCAATGCTTAATTCATCCCTTTCAAACCAAATCAATTAATCAATTAAAAACAAAAGAATTGATCACACTAAGTTGTCCTGTGTCAGCCATAGTAATAAGGTGACAGAGTATTGTGATATAACGTCCTTGCCTCGGCTCTGATCAGACCCAGTTTACCCAGTTAACCATCTCATCTATCATTGTGTCTGTGTATTCATGGGCCACTAGCTTCAGTATGCCCCATGTTGTTTGCTCTGCATTTACATATTGCATTGCTATAAGCTTATTCCAGCAGAGGAACGTCTGTTTGGTTTGGTTGTAGAGGTGTCCTTATACTGTACAAAAGCAGCATGAAGGCCAAAGTGAGTGGATCCTGAGTGAACTGGTGCTGCCCTCTGCTGGTAGAGAAGGGAAACATCCACATGCTTCAGTATGCTGCTACTCTAAATAAAAGATAATGCTGCTGATGAGAGTGAAGTGTTATGAAGGTTATAGGATTGTGTGAAAATATCTTTTTATCAATAGCTGTCTCCCAAAATAACTCACTTTGCTTTGAGATCTGACACATGATAAGAGATACCTAACGATACACAAAATATGATATGAAGCAATACCATACTATATACCACACTATATAATACTGTACGATAAAATACCATTCAATACAATGCAATACTGTACGATACCAGGAAACCATACCAAACCATATAATATGAAATGAAGCAACACCAAACTATATAATACCGTCCATAAGATATACGGTAAAATACATAAGGAAATAAAGCAATACAGTACGATACCGTGATAAAGTTCCATATCATATCATACCATACCATGCTTTAGTATGGTACTGTCCCCTTGGGGAAGTCTGTCCTGGATTTAAGTGCTGCACACATTAAGCTGCCTCGACAGAAGAATCAATAAATAAGAACAATAGATTCAAAACAAAGCTCCAAATGTAAAAAGGACATACCGATGAATACTACAAACATATGGTGGTGAGCTGGTCAGACGCAAAGACCTCAGTATAAATCACAGCTGCTGTTCTAACCGCAGCAGGAGGAGGACAGCTGTATTGTCTCACAGAGGCAGAACACTAGACAGACGTCCATAACAGAAACATCTCTCACACTCACGGTGTAACAAATTCACATTCTGTATCACAGAAATGACATTTAACACGCACAATTATTAACAACCGCATGACAGAACAGTGACTTAAACTGTTTTTTAACACACTTTTTCTAACTGTGCATTATCATTCCCATGAGCCTTTGCTCCACAAACAACCTCAGAGCGACTGTCCATTTGGAGTTGCTACAAAATTGTGACACATTATCCATATTTCTCACTTGTTTCTAAAAGCTTTGAATCTGTGGTCACAGACTTATCTAACGCCTGAACACGGACATGTCCAGCAGGGTGGCGAGTTTTAAAGGCCTCATCATTAAGGAGGTGAAACAAACTTTTCACAATTCTCTTTGATTTCGTCATTTATCCTGTCCCATTGGTTAAACTCTTTAAAATAGTCCTTCAAGCTGTTTGTAGTGTTGTTGCCAGGCAAAAAAAAAAGAAAAGGTACAGTTGTATTGAGCCGCTTCATGATTCAGTAAAGCTGTTAAATTGTTAAAGTTTGCCCTCTTTTACGCCCTCGTATCATGTACATGTTAAACATAACTCAGGCTGACATTTATTGGGGCAGAAGAAATTGATTTGGGTCACATGGAGTGAAAACATCATTGTATGTGCGTGTCAGACACAGCTGTAAAGTGACTAAACTACTCCCCCTGTAAATTTAATGTAGACTTTATGAGATTAATTATGAATGAATGAACGTCTGCTAATACAATGTAGGTTAACAAAGTAGGTTGAGAGAAAATTCTAAATATAACGGTGAAATCTGGATGTTTGGTAAAAGCGCATCTAAAAAAACAATAAAGGATTTAAACATTTAAAAGTTTCATATCTGAACCTTGGGAGATGTTAGAGTTATGTGAATTCTGCTGGGAGCAACGGGAGCATAGCGGTTATGTCACGCACCCCGAGTACAGAGGTTACAGTCCTCGTCGGGCTCGAATCCGAACTCGGCCCTTTGCTGCATGTCATACCCAGAGGCGCTGCTTGTCAACAGGCAAGTCAGGCAACTGCTCGGGGACCCCAGTCCACTTATAGGGGCCCCCAAGGGCTGAAACGTTAAACCCCAGCAGTGGCTCAAAATGCGCAAATTTTGCAATGACAGAAGGAAACCTCCCGAATGGACTAGAAGAGGAAGAGCGTCGTGACACTGCTTGATATTATAAAGGTTGCAGGGGCCCTGATTTATTTTTGCCTATAGGGTCTCAGCAGACTCTCGAATCGCCCACTGGTCACCCCCCACTCTCTCACTTCCTGTCTCTCTTCAGCTGTTCTGTCTAATAAACGAAAAAAAGGCCCCCAAAAAAAACATACTTAATCAGGGAATAACTCGTGTGAAATGGTTTTCACAGACAGTTTTTTTGCACACACACACTGCACCCCAGATCTACAAGGGGTCATTTTATTCATCCATTTATGTCAAACTTTCAATGTACTTGTGAACGGAAAAAACAGTGAGGCAGATACTTCAAAATAATCCCTTTGAAAACCAATCAAAGAGCAGATTTAGACAAAGAAAAAAACCGGAAAAGGTCACTCTTTTACAGCCACTAGTTCAAAGACTTATACTGCAGCGCCCTCTTCTGGTGAAATGACGCACAGACACGTCTCATAGTGTTTCCTTTTTTTTTTTAAATCACTTCAATTGATTTCTTGAAGCACCCAAAAATCATCAATTGTGGAAAATACACATCAGGTCTTAAACTAAATTCTGTTTTATATGTTTTCACTATACACTTAGACCATAGACTGTAATTATTTAGACTCAGTTTGTCAATAGAAAATGTGGTCAACATAGATAGATAGATAGATAGATAGACAGATAGATAGATAGATAGATAGACAGATAGATAGATAGATAGATAGATGGATAGATAGATAGATAGATACTTTATTGATCCCGAGGGAAATTCAAAGCATCCAGTAGCAGGTTACAAAGACATGACATGAAACTTTTGTTACAAATTAAACCGCAAAACCGTCGCCCCCCTCCCATACATATATATGAACCTGAAAAAAGATTTAAAGAATACCCCTAGATGAATCAAAAATTAAACTGTGCAATTAAAAATAGATTTATACAAGAAATGTCCATAACCCGTTGATGTAGATGTAGATTGTTGTATTACAGTAATCATGATGATGGTTATTATGATTAATTTAATCACTGATCCAGCAACCAGGGAAACACATAAAGAGGTTAAAATCAACACGATGCATCAAGTTATGTTTATTAACAACTTTATTAATCAACTTCCTTTTACTTTGCAATCAACATTTTTCTTGTTCTGAATTTTATTTATTTTTTTACTTTTTTTTGGCCTCTGCCTTTATAGATTGAACATCTGAAGAGAGACAGGAAGTGTGGGGGAGACATGAACCAAATGATCTCAGGTCAGAGTCCAACCAGCAACCAAGGTGTTTGCTTCTATATGTGGCACACCTGTTGTATCAACAGCGCGCACTGATTTTTACTGCTGCACGACCTGGACAGAATACTCTAACAGAGGAACTTTATAGAAACCAGAAGGGAATTCACACCTGAGCTCTTGAACTGGATTTAGGAAGGTGATGTTTGTCGCTCCCAGCCAGGTCAGGAAGTTCTTCAGGTTTTGATCGCAGTGAAAGCGGTTTGCTTCAAGGTTGAGGTATCTGAGGAAACGGAAAGCGTCCGGGTCTGGGGAGGCTATGAAGTTGTCGGACAGGTGGAGAATTTTGAGACTTTTGGGAAACACATCAGATCGGAGGTAAGTCAAGGAATTGGATGAGAGATCGAGCTCCACCATTGAGGTAAGACCCTTGAAAACGTCTTGAGGAAGAGACTGCAGGGCGTTGAAGCTCAAATTAAGACCAAGCACATGTTGGAGATTGTCAAACAGATTCAAGCATCTCCCCTGAGACCAGATAGACTGCAAAGCGCTGCCGTGAAGATCCAGGTTTGTGACATTACTCAAACGACTCGCTGAAACTCTACCGAGCATGCAGAATCTGATTCTGTTTCCTCCGCTGTAGAGTTCCTTGAGGCGTCTGAGCTCGGTCAGAAAGGTGAAAACATCCCCCAGATCTGTCAATCTGTTGTCCTGAACGTCCAGATATATAATATTACTGGCAAAGCGTGTGATACTGCTCACAGATGAGGGCTCCAACTTATTATCATTCAACAGAAGCAAATCTAAGCATGGGAGAGATGCAGGGAAGCCGAGATTTCGCAAAGAGTTTCCTGTTAGAAGTAGTTTTTTCAAATTTGGAAGTCCTCTAAATGAGTCATAACCAAGAGCACCAATGTGATTGTAAGATAAATCCAACACTTGCATGTTTGTCAGGGAAGAAAAAGTGTGAGAGTAGATTTCCCCCAGCAGGTTGTGAGACAGGTTGAGCATTGTTAAATGTTCCTGAAGACCTTCAAAGGCCTTTTTTTGGATCTGGTTCACCTTGTTTTGGGAAACATCGATTATTGCGACCTCTTTCAGCGGACCGAAAACCCCCTGTTGCAATGTAAAGATCCTGTTTTTTGACATATCCAAAATGCGGATTGAACTGTTTCTCAGGCCTTCAAATGTGTTTCCGTCAGGATCATTGAAATTGTTGAAGGACAGTCCTCTACCCATTGGTCCAGAAAGTTTGAGATGACTGATCTTAGTCCCCTCAATGGCTCTGAAAAACTGCTTTGCTTTTGAAATGCTAAACACATTGTTGGACAAGTCAAGTATCTTGAAGGACACTTCTCTAAAAGGATTCCCACATTTCTTCCAGTCGAAACTTTTAGTAGACATTGCGGTCAGATAAACAGAGTTCAAATTCAGATATTCTAAGTGCTTTCCCCTAAAAGCAACCAGATCAGACTCACATATTTGGTTGATTTGATTCAACTTGAGATTCAAAACTTTCAAATTCTTCATGTTTGCAAATATCATTGAAGGCTTGAGTCTTTTTATCTGATTTCCAAAGAGATCAAGAGTCTCTAAGGAGGACAGTGGCTCCAAAAAGTTCCTCTCAAGTATTGACCCTTTGAGTGAGCAGTAATACAGACGGAGATCCTTCAAACCGGACAGTCCTGCGAAAGCAAGAGGCTCCAGTCGAAGGCCGAGGTTGAAACCGAGCTCCAGCTTCCTGAGACGTCGTTGTGCGATGAAGGAGTTGTTCCTGATCACAAGAGGTACGACCTGTTGTCCGAGGTCCAGCTCCTGCAGCTCCTCCAGGCCGGACAGGGAGGTGGAGTTGATCTCAGCGATGCGGTTCATCTCCAGGTAGAGGTGGGTGATGTGTGGAGGGAGGGGAGGAACTGAGCGGAGGTTCTTTGAGGCACAGTTTGCTACAGAGCCCATAATGAGGCATGATGGGAAACATCCCGGCACCTGCAAGGAAGTAGATTTCTTTCATTTGCTGGTACATGGATTAAAATTGATTCCTGCATAAAATGAAATGGTTTGCCTTAATTCAGCTTAAGTTTTTATAAAATTTAGACCTGCTAAATGTTTACAAGACAGAGAAATCAAGCTTCTACTTCTTCGCAGTCATTAATACTCCCCGTGTTTTTCTAACACAAGTTTTATCAGCATTATTTTAATTATTGAAGACGTTGTGCGATCACTCTTTTGGCTTGTGGAAAAAAATAGATGTATCATCAGTCTTATTTGTTTAATGTTGTGTCATTTTGGATTAAACCCCGACATAAAGAACCTGCATTGGCACACATTTCCACTTTTTCTGCAGTACCAAACACTGTCAAGAACTTTAAATTCACTCTCTAGTTGCTTTTTCTGAGATCTCAGGCTCATTTCTATAATCATAGCTGCAGCATAAACATAGTATATCTCGATTTTAATTTGACTTACCTGCAGCAAAACACAGACGATGACCACCTGATGACCCCGCAGCCACATATCCACACAGAAATCAAACTTTAAATTAGTTGAAATAGTGGTCCAGCTGTTTGCTGTCTGTTAAAAATCTGAGCTCCTGTCTGCAGAGATTTCAGCGGGAGCTCTTTTTATGTCAACGTATATGAGTCATTTGTGCCGAGCATTGCATTGACCCTGCAGCAAACAGGACACACTTTTTTTCCAGGCTTACATGAGAATGGGAAGTACAGCTGCATGTTTGCTAACCTGCGTCAATAAATTCTGTATGTGTAGATGTTGGAGTAAGGAGGGGACATTCTTTTGCATGACTGACTGCTTTAAAAATTGCACACTGGCAGGTGTTGTCGGAGTTGCATCATGACATTACTTCCAGCTTTGTGTTCAAGGTTGATTACAGATCTGAAAAGCTGTAAATAGTGTCAAACTGATGTATGTCCATTAAAAACGTTATACCCTGTAAGACTTTTTCCTCATACCCAGTGTAGTTTTCTAAGAAATATCAAATGGTTTCAACTTTACACACATATACATTCATCTTTGGATTAATGTCGCAACAAGCAACAGCTGTTGAATCCCTTCAAAAACACAAATTAATGTTAAATCCTTCTGTTTTCAAAATCCAGATTTAAAAAGTTAATGAAACTTACATTTTTTGGAAACGTATTTCTTGTATTCTGGGCCAGTGTAAATATTTTTCTGTGAACATTTCTTACTGTGGGATCAGGATTTGGTTGATTGGAGACTGCTTGATGCAACGTTTTCTGTAAATACACTGACACTGAAGTTTTAATGGATGTAATTACCACAGAAAACAACGCAAAATTATTTCAGTATATGATTCAACAGATGTCTTAAACATCTTATATTTCAAATCGAGAATAGAGCAAATGCATGTGGCTCAGTTGGTAGAGTCATTCATCTCTCAACCGGTTAAAAAAAACACTATACATTTTTGATGTATGAGGTATACACTTTTCTATAATATTAAAATTGTAAATAATGTTACTGTAAAATAGCTTGAAAACTCATGGAATCAAAAGAAGTTTCCAATATTGCAACACAAAAAAATCAAATGAACAACGGTTTTAACTAAAGTCTCTGAAGGCAGAGGAGGGTGAAGTGCATAACTTGTTTAAGAGATGTTGACAATGGTCAATGCTGAATTTTGATAGTAGCCTAATCTGCTTATTACACTGCAGAGTAGAGCATCTGTGGTGTGTGTGTGTGTGTGTGTGTGTGTGTGTGTGTGTGTGTGTGTGTGTGTGTGTACGTGTAGTTTTTTGACACAGGGCTGGTGAATTTCACAACCTCTGGAGAATGAAGGCTTGTCAAATAAGACAGAGAATGAGGAACAGAGGTTGACAGACAATGTGGAAAAATGTTATACTCTCCTAGTAAGGCCCTCAAAAGCCTCATATTAAATATGTTATTTAGTTATGATTTGAATTCATAATTTAGCATATATAGAACCATGAAAGAAGCCCACAACATTAAGACATGCCCTGCAGTTTGACCTGCTTATGCTCACAAGAAGTAGCCTACTTTTTTTTCACAGGAAATGTATTACAGATTTGATCTTGAGGAAATGTGATGAAATTTGCTAATTACGTTTTTCTTCTGTTTTGTGTTGTAGTGGCAGGTAAAATCATTTTGCGATCTTGAATGGTATAAAATGAATTACATGGTATGAAATGAATGAAGAGTGGGATGTGAGTGGCTTTGTTGGCCTGCAGCTATTTCATTTAGTTGTATTGAATTGTGTGCTTTGTTAGTATTGTGACAGAGGAGCAGATTACATTCAATTATTCTTATTTCTGCTCCTTTTCATTCAAGATCTGAGATTTAATGTTTGTAATTAGTTGTTTTGTTTGGTGAATGAAATAAACCTATCAGTCTATAAATAAATGAAATAAATAAAAAAATGGAAATGGAAATATAAGAAGTGAAAAATGTTTTTGGTAGCCTAAATGGTAGCCTATTTTCAAGCATTAATAAAGTAGTGGTGAACACATTTAAAGAAACCTATAGGCAACCGTGTAAAACTATTCACTTCCTATTAAAACTTAAGTCCAGAGTCACCATGTTGATGCATTTTTAATTTATAATAACTCTGATAAAGTAGGCTATTAAAACTACAAATATTCTCCTTACATAGGCTAGGCTATCTCCTCAATATTCAAGCCAACTTCAGGAACCTACTTTCATAAAACTTAGATGAATTAAAACATTAGATTTACAATTTACAACAATTACAACACCCTTTATCATAACTTGTAGCCAAATTGTACTTAACCAAGCAATAAAATGATCTTCAGGAAATAAGTGGAGAGGCATGGGTCAAAATTTCCTCAGAAATTCATGAAGTCACTAATGCAAACTTATGGAGAGAATTCCAGTGGAATAGTGAACAGATTTTTCAGAACACCCTACATCCTTTCAAAAATAGACCCGTCAATCAAGTTTATGCTGGAGGAATTGTGGAGAAGAATCTGTTAACTTTGCTCATATATTTTGGGACTGTCCTCTCCTAAAAAACTTTTGGAGACAGATTTTTGATTCTCTAGATGGAATATTTATGGAATATTTAACCTCCACCTACCAAGGGTCCCTCTACTGGCCATCCTCGGGGCTGTCCCAGAAACCATGAAAAGCAGAAATAAGATTTATTTATTACATATACTTCTCGTAGCAACCAAGAAGGCAATAACATTGAAAAAACAAGACTGCAAAATGTCAAAATTTCTTGACAGATGGTTTCCATGGCAACATGTGATGGAGGATGTTTAGATACAAGTTGGCAAGGGAAAATGTGGTGATATCTTAATTTAATAAAATATATAATGAAAAGGGGATGTATGTAAACATTATTTTGGTTGCAAAAACTGAAAGTAAATCATGGTTATGTCATTGGTGATGTGTGTGTCACTTTTTTGTTTTGGTCTGTTTTGTTTTGGGTTTGTGTGTGGGTTTTTTTTTTTTTTTTTACTGTGGGTTGCTTGTTTTTTGTTGTTATATTTTTAAAATAAATAAAAATAAATGAATGCAAAAAAAAAAAAAAAAAAAGGATCTTCAGGATGTTGTCTCTATCCTATGAAATGGAATAGCTAAAACTAGCATAAACAACGCAAAGCCATAGACTGCAAATGCGCAAAACGCGTTTTGTTGTTGTTGTTGTCAGGTGTACGCTTTGTGGATGCGTCGTGACGTAATACGTACGTTATACATTGAAAGTTGTCACGGAAACCGTCAGAAGTTTAACAGACTCATTTTCTCTTTGTGTGAAGATAACGACTTCTTTTTAGGGCATTGGAAGTACAGTAATGTATCCTATATCAACACTAAATAAATAAATGTAAAAATAAATTTAAGACATTGAATTATTTATGTCCCATTTATTTACCAGTTTTTATTTATTTATTCATGCATTTAATTATTTATTTTTTATTCATTCTTTTATTTATTAATTCCAGTATTTACTTATACATTTATTTATTTATTCCAGTATTTATTTATACATTTATTTATTTATTTATTCATTCCAGTTTTTATTTATACATTTATTAATTTATTTATACTTCTACTTCGTCCTCCATATAAAACAGCTGTAATGTCAATGTTTTGAGTCAGCAGCATTCACCGCTCACCGTCACCAGGGAAGGGGGCAGGACGCAGCGAGGAGGGGAGTGACTTTCTTTCAAAAATAGTACACTTCATCACGGCAGCAACCCGGTACAGCAGCAGCCACGGTGAGGGGGTATGGAGGGTGTGTAACATGGTTGGCTACGGAAATAAATAACGGGACCGGGACGAAGGATTTTCAACCAAAGAAAAGCTGAAAAAAAAAAAAAAAAAAAAAACCACGGTGAAAAGAAGGAAGCGGATACGTCAAGAGAGAAGACACTTTGTTACAGTGCCACACGTTTCAGTGTTGATGTCGGTATTTGGACACGAATACCTGCCGAAAATAGTCCCGGTGAGTAGACCTTGTCTTAAATAAGTATGTAAAGCAATAAAGCAAAGTCTCAAAGATAGAAAGTTTTAATTTTGAAGTCGATACCTGTGACTTTTCAGTGTAGAAATGCACTCGAGGTTTGAGAGTTAAAAGCTCAACAAGGTGAACAGGGAGTTAAACTTTTTTCTGCAATATGGCCGCTCAGATGTCACAGCTTCCCAGAAGTAGGCAGAACTAAAAATGAGCTTTGACTCAAGTCTTTAAAATGCATGGCAGCTTAAACTCTTCACTGAAGACCATTGAAATATTGTACTTCAGTGTCCCTCCCTGCCTGCCTGTCTGTCTGTCATGAGTGTTGTGGTTGACCCAAGTCTTGCCCACTTTTCAAATCAAAACTAACTATTGGTGTTTGACCTATAACGTAGAAGTGTCGTTTCCTTCAATGGGATGGACTTTTTTTCCATTCAAAAGTGTGGCAATTTAACGTTACACCAAATTTACAGAAAGAAACACACATTATGCTTCACTAAACTAGACATTTGTGTTTACTGAGGAATTTGGGACACCATGTGAAGTTATTCTGAATAAGCCTCAGTGCCATTCATGTTATAGGCTGAATGGGGGGGAGGGAATAACTCCATCTGATTTGCAGATTGAAACTGAATGATTGGCTGATCATTATATGCACCAATGAATCATTATATCTGATCTGTGTGGTCAGCTGAAGTGATTTATCTCACCACAGCCTGCCAAAAAGTGTCATCTGAGACAGCAGAAGCATTTAAGGAGGCTCTGGTAGAGATTGACAGCCACACCGCCGCCCTTACAACCCCAAAAATATTATAAGTAATACGCATATTTAAAGATCTACCGGCCATCCTGATTGTAGCCTACTACTCTGTTTCAGAGGCTTATTCTATAGAAATGTGAAAACCTGATCATACAAACTGTGAATATTTAATCCAAGAGTTTGTTTTTCTGCATTTGTATGGCAGTAGAAGAAAAGACAAGATGACGGTTCTTTTTTTTTTTTAATTTGAGAGACAATATTTATGTAAACGTTAACATTATTGATTTTGTTTGCCTCAATATGGCAAACTCTAAATTCTTAGCATTTTTCTCTCCATCAATTATTTACTTTCTAAAGGCAGAGCTCTCAAATGATTCTTTTATATTGTGACTAAACCGAATACACCAGCTGGATACTATGCTATTTTCCATGTACCCTATTTGAATTCAAAACATATTAGTTTTCCCTTTGAAATGTTATTTTTTACAGTTAGATATTGCAGATAGTATTTGTTTATTATGCAGTTAAAATCAAACAATCAACTAAAGGTCAAGTTCATTAACTGAAATCAAAGAATATGCAGAAATACACGGCAGTACTTTTGAAGCAAGACGAACTGAAGACAGAAAGACATCAGTAAAAAGTGTATTTTTAGTCTTTCTCCAGTCGGGTTACAGACTTTTCTGAACTGTTACTCCCTGCTGAGTAAACTAAAGAGAGAGTGTTGACATATTGCCTGATGGGCTGCCCCTGTGGGTTTCCACTTTTCCCCTGGTTCAAGAATTGTGTACTTTAATTGAGCAGTGCAGGATTTGTTTGCATATTTAACGGCGCAAAATGAGAGAGCGAAATCCAACTTTTTCCAGGCATCCACAACCCTGCGCATTATAACAGTCCTTTACATTCCTCACTCCCCAGCTGAGTCAGCGCTTACTATTTTATCTAAATATACCTGCGGATAATCTGTCATGGTTTCTTCAAATCAACATTTATTTTTTCATTTCATCTCAGCGTGTCTCTACATAAGGAAAGGCTTGAGCCGTTGTAGATTTACAGTGGTGCTGATAGTGTTACTGTCTCCTCTGTGAGTGGGTAATAGCTGTGAGGGTGAAACCTATGATTAACATCCACCCCCTGGTTTATATAACTCCCTAGTGTTTAATTATAGTGAAATTTAAGTATTCTTCATTTTCCACGTAGGCGCAGTTAGATGGCTGTCAAACACTCCTGGGGATATCTGGGCTCACTACACATTCACTGTATTGTTTGATGCCCTCGAGTTACTGGCAGCATAGCAGTAAAACCCAGTGTAATGTCTAGTTTACCTGTGGGAAAGAATTGATTAACATCTTGTTCTGCATTCCTGAACTTGCTTTTCTAAGGTCACTGAAAATACCAGCCTGTCCACCTATCTGCTCATAGAGGTTTGTGACTAAGTTTGTTATAATCCACTAGAAATACTTATATTTTTGGTGCCACTTTGCAAGAGTGATATGACTGTGGTATTTTTTTTGCTCAAGGGCGAAGAGATAGATGAAAGGAAAGTTTAATGCAGAGACTCTCAGAGGATTTTTTTAAATTTTTTTTTTAGGTTTTTGTGATGAAGAGTTGAGTTGAATTTCTCCAATTTCATCCCCTATAATATTTCAACTAAATATTTCTGGTATGTAAGGCTGCAGGTTCAATGTCAAACATTTCTACTCAGGTTTCTTCAGGACTGTAGATAGACAACACTTTCACTTCCTGTCTATAGTTCTTCATGTTTCTCTCTTGTGCCCTCTTCCTGTCTCATTAAGCATATTGCTTTCTCACTCTGTTCTTCCTTCTCTCATCTTAGTTCATCTTAACCTTTGTTTGGATCTCTTCACATTATCGTTATTTATTTAGTTTTTCACTCTCTCCCTGTCTGGTTTACAGTTACATTGGTGTACCCTCCCTATCCAAAAACCAGATTAGTTCAGGTTTAGAACAATAATCTTTGGTTCCAGCCTGGTTGTAGGTCTGTTACTGCACTGGATCATGAGAGGAGTCTGATAACAGGAACCACTATGCACTGCAATCAGATGCTAACACCAAAACATATCCTGTGTTACTGTTAATCACTGCAAGTGTTCGCGAAGAACGGGCTTGAAGGAAGTTGCCTGGTATATACTTATAACACCATAAAAACCAATTCAGGAAGGCCAGATTAAGCAAGAGACCCACACGTTTGGAGACTTTTCAAAAAGAAAACTCAATTTAAAGCTGTTTAAATACGCCAAACAGAATCTAAAACACTGCAAGGTTACTATAGAAGCTGTATTCACCTTGTTTTTGTAAATTATCATAGAAAAAAAGGATTACTATTAATGTACTGAGAATGTGTGGTTGTAAGCGAGATAGTCTGTTGCAGAATCTTTCTCCATGACATGACATTGCATGTGACAAAGGTTGAGCAGCATGTCCTCCTTTTTGTTTTGTTGTTGCAAGAAATCTATGCAGCTTTTTCTAAATAAGAGGGAATAACTTGGCATGGATGCTTCGGTGCTTGTCTGTCAACACTTGGTAATTTCCTACCAAAATGAATAAGAGGAGATTCATTTCAACGTGCACTTTTTTTTCTGTGTAAATACATTCTTGGAGTCTAACTAACTAGCACTGTAAAAGTGTCTAGCCTTTTTTTCAAGTTTGGATGTAAGCTAAAAGTTCTTCTAAAAAAAAAAAACAACCTTCCTGCCAGCTCATGTTTGGTTTTTCATTTTATACAGTAGACACTATAACTTCTTGTCCAGTCCTCTAAACACCCTTGCAGTCCTCTAAGCATGCTGGCTCTATCCTAAATGTGTAACCAGAGATGCGTTGCTTCTGTTTTTACCTGCCTGGTGACAACCCCTGGGTCATGCCGGGTCAGTCGGGTGGTCTCTGACAGCTCGGGATCAGAGGTCAGGACTGAGGGATTGGAGAGAGTTTTGCTTTCGATTCAACGTGTGTTGAAAGTATTTATCTGTGAAACCAACGCTCTGAGAGAAGTCAACATTTAATTTTTGATATAGGTTTGTCTATTATTTCTGAAGTTGATCCCGTGTGCTAAGAATTTAAAAATATTCTGTCATTTGATTCATTGTATACTATAGATGTCTTTTTGTGACAAAAAGCCCGTCTAAGACCAGTGTATGTGCTGAAACAATAACTTAAGTAATCAATAATCTATCCTAAGGTATTGTTATAGATACTAGAAATGCTTACCCTGCTATTCCGCATTCTATCAGAAGCATATTGTAATCAATTTAGGTTATGAAGTCCAAAAACCAGCTACTGTAGTAATAATTAATACATTCAGTCAAACAGGTATCATAACAGGTCCAAATCTGCTTTTCGCACAGAGATTAACTACATTCCTGCCCCTGTAAAAAAAAAAAAAAAGCCAAAATATTCCAGGTCTTTGTTTAATACCTTCTTACCGTTTGTTTGTTCTCCATTATGCCTAAAACTTTTTTGGACATTTGAGACAGAGGCAAACATCTGTGATCCAGACAGCTCTTTGAAATCCACAAACTTTCAAGTTTTTTTTTTTTAATTTCCTGAAAACACAACTTTTGAGAAACTATTTAGAAAGTTGCCACATGGCTTGAAGAGAGATTGTGTGCCTCTGGTCAACCAAGCTAATCTGTTTCATATGCTACAGTATAGCACAGGGTCGTATGGAGGATAAATGGAGCACATAGGTACTCTAAAGTAGCAGCCTACTGTATATCATGTGTAACGCACATCCACTGTCATGCACTGGCCAGGTCCTGTCAGGGCAGACGGTGAGAGAAGTCAGCAGCTGCAAATGCGAATGTGGTCTTGTGGCATGCATGGTGGTGTGTGTGTGTGTGTGTGTGTGTGTGTGTGTGGGGTGGTAAACACCCTCTTACCCCTCTTTAGTACCCCCTAGCCTGCCTGACGCCCCTGTCTGCATTGGTGTCATTGCTGTGTTGCTTCTTCTGTCCCACAAAACTTTAGGTGAGTTTTGGCTACAAACATGAGCTTTAGTTTTGCAGGTTTAAGACTGAGAGGAACAGTGTCTTTAAGAAAAGGTGTGTGTGTGTGTGTGTGTTTTGGTTTTAGAAGAGAGAGTGTGTTTCTTTTCCGGACCATTTGCCCTAGTTCAGGTGTTACGCCTTCATGTGTGTAGCCTCTGTTCTGATACTGTAGTGTGTGTGTGAGTGATTAACGAACAGGTGTCCTGGTTGGGTGGTCTGCACTGATGCAACACTCACACACAGAAAGACAGCAGCCTGTGAAGTAAGCTTAATGTTGATGTGTGATCATTAAGATTGCGTGTGGCATTAGAGGTTTGTAACCAGATGCTAACAGAAACATCCCGTTCTTGTTACTGATTAATTACAATTCTCATGCTTTGGGGTAGTAAAATATTTGCAGAACGTAGGTATCGGTTATCCGTGTGGTATCTTTCTGTGTCACTTGTGTAACCTGCTGACAGGAAGTCATTGTCTGCCTCTTGCAGTTTACAGAATTGAGGTTCAGCAGGCTGGATGTAGTGCCTTCCTACCTAACTGTATCCAGGTCATCTCTTTATTCAAACACATTTGTTAAAGTCGCCTGTATGAATAAAGCCTATGTAATGTACATTTCATGATCTGCTGAATAATCCCATATTTTGTGTTCAGTTAGATCTGCATTTGTCGGACCATATAATGAGTCACGGGAAGATTGTTTGACCTGCTACTGCTAAAGCTTGTCTAATGCTGCCTGATGAGTGATGACGTGTTAGTGTGTGTGAGACGGTGAGAAAACACGATATTTAATCTTTTTGTTTGGGAAAGGATTTTGTTGTGTTATGCAGCTTTTCAGCATTTTGCTGTTGTGGTTTGGCTTTAATCGGCTAAATGGTGAATGACGGAGAAGAAGAAGAAGCACAGGTAGCTCTTCACAGATGACTGGAGGGCATTGTTTACAGTGATCATAACTCATTTGAGCAATAAACAGCGCACCAGTCCATATGTCAGGGAAAAATATTTTGATATTGATATTTTTAATTATCTATTATGATACCTGATGTTGGGACACTACCATGCCTGTGTGGATCAGTGCATATATTGCCAGATTCACTTATAGAATAGGCTGCTTCCAGCTGTATTAGTGTCTGTTCATAATGAGCCTGTGTCCCTATTGGCATAGCTCTGTATACATTCGGCATACAGGGCTACAGGTGGGGAGAAGGGGATCATAATATTAGGGTCCCCTTAGTAATGAAGGTTTTTAGAGCCATAGAATATGCTATGTTTTCAGCTGTATAAGTAGTTGATAATAATGAGCATGTTTTGCTATTGGCATAGCTCTGTAGACATTTCATACCTTGTCCTTGTCCCATGTATTTTGGCTGAAAGTTACCTTCAGAGAAAAGCAGGCGGGCTACAGATGAAGAAGGTGAGCATAATGTTAGGGTCCCCTGGCTTATGTAGGTTTTTATGGCCATTATGAATTGCCTTTTAATCGGATAAAAGGTTTAGGAAAAGAGAATGAACAGTTTGTAATGATACTGTTGCTGAAGGAAAGTTTTGATGCATCGAAGAGCAAAATATACAACCACTTACTACTGTCCCACTTTAGACACTGAGAAGACTGAGCTGCTTTTAGGTTGAGTTACGATCAGGAAGGTCCTTCATCATAATGGAAGCGACTGCGCGTTTCATAACTGATCGTATTCACTTATGACATAATAAAGAGAGATTGTGCTTTTGATTTAACCAAAGCAAACCCTCACACAGGTTCTTATCAGTGCTTGGATGACAGGGAGTGTGCTTGTGTTTATAGTGTGCGTCTGTATTAGTGAGTCCTCTGCTGTCCACAGAGACCTTTTGGCCTCATTGTCTGGAGACTGAAAAGACTTTTCAAATGTCCTCTCTCTTCTCTTTCTGTCTTTCTGCTAGACGTCCATTGTTGAAGCTCCTCTGTCCTGTGTGACCCCCTGACACAGAGAGGTATGACCACACACACAGACACACACACACACACACACACACACACACTCAGTATGTGGATAGAGATGAACTGTGCTATCAGAGAAATGCTGCCTCTAACTGTATTTCTGATCGAACCTTTCTTAAGCCAGAATTCAAGAAGTAAGTGGAGTCTGTTTCCTCTTCTTGGGAGTGTGTGTATTCAGAGCAGCTTGTGCTGTTTGTGCTGTTTGTTTCCGTAAAGCTCAGCAAATGTCAGCCATAATAAAACACCATGGTGTAACAACAGAGGGCATCGCCACCCACACAATTTAGGAAAGCAACACAAAGCACAGCAGTCAGCTGAATATACAGCTTCTCCAACTTTCTTTATCTGAGCTTCTAATGAGGAGACAAAGCACTAAGTAACTGTTCAATCAGCCGTCAGCCACATTAACTTCAAACTTTTGACTGAGTGACGTGGAGGTTTTAATTTGCACTGCAAACACATTTATTACATAGGTAAAACCTTGAGACGCACTAATGACACAAAAACAATTAACCAAAAAATGAGTTGCAAGCTTTGACGAATGTTCTCTTTGAAATAACAAACAAATTTTTGGTTTTCAGTGATTTTTACTTCAGTGTTCACCTTCCATTAATGAATTATATAACTGTATTACGGTCTGTTTGATTTCAACATAGCTTTCTGAAAAAGATATTTGGATCTTTTTCTTGTGACCAACCTTTGTCCTCAGACCCGGTGATTGGGAAAACAGCAGCCAAGCTGTTCCTGGACCTCTGACATAGTTGGGGATAAGTGTGGGAGGGGTAATTATATCCACGATGATTTAAAGCTTTCAGGGTTATAATGGGGAGCAAACCTCACAGACCAAATGTTCCTGCATGTCAACTATACACAGACAGACAGACAGACAGACAGTAGTAATCACGAAGGCCAGGCTGGAAATAACAATTTACTCACCACAGAAGTCCAGTGTGTGAGACTTTTGGAAGCTGTCATAGCTTTTTTTTGGGCTCATGTAACATCCAACACCTTTTCAGTGAAGTTAGTGTCAGCAAGAAGCTTTTCATTGACTCACATGCACTCCATCTGTCCGTCTGCATTACTTTACTGGCTGTCCTAATTCTGTTCTTGTTGTTATGCTTTGTGGTAGAGAGAACCAGACATTACCGGTCTCATATTTGCTTGTTAAAGACAAAGCAACAGCTAGCAGACAGTTAGCCTACGCAAGCATAAAGACTGGAAATGGGGAAGCGGCTTCATCCAGCAGCAACAAAATCTGCAACATCAAATTTAAGTGCTCAAAAATTCTATAGAAGACAGATTTAGCCCCAAGTTCTGACTTGGTATTAAAACAATAACAGTAAAAAAAGACCATGGTACAATTTTTCATTGATTAGCAAATCATTTAGAGCACGCTTACTGTAAAGTACACAGAGTCAGTGACACCAACACAGGTACCAAGAGGTCCAGGCCGTGGAGTTTGTGCCTATAGGTTAACATATCGAGACAGAAACTTTTATTACACCCGGGATACATTTTTCAGAGATGTGTGCAAGATTAGGAAGAGATGGGGCTGCTTCCCATGATTCAGCAGTACTTGGAAATACTTGTATTTTTTTTATTTATTCAAAACTTCACTCCTGACACCGCCAATACTTTAGCATCATCTCCAAGGCCTTTAGTGCACTCTTTAGAAGTTACCGTATGTTACACAAAACATGTTTCAAAATGATTTATAATAGAAGATTAAAATTGGAGATAATTCTTACATACGAGGAAGCTGACCAAAGGACTTCCCCGTTGCTATCAACCCATAGATATTTGTAGGATATTATACTGATCAGGTCATATTAATCCAAAAAAACAGCAAACAAAAGCTCTGTTCTCTGGAGGACAGAGTGTGAGTGAGTGAGAAATATCAATGAAACAGCTGTATGAAGCTGTATAGGAATGTGTGAAAGAGACAGAGAGTGACTGAAAGAGCAGAGGAGTCCCTCTTTTGTCTGGTTGAAGCATGAAGTCTCCTGGGAGGCTTTTCAAATCCTCTCTGGAATGTGTGTGTATGTGTGTGTGTGTGTGTGCGCGTGCAGTGTGTAAGTGCCAATTTCTTAGAAAATGTGTGTGTCGGGGGTTTGGCCTGTCACCACATTTATACAAGGAATGCAAATATTTGTGGGTCTGTGCACTTGTGTTATATGTGTGTTTTGGTATCCGAGTGTAGTAGTATAACTGTTACCATGGCAACTGATATCCTTTGGGCTGTATCACCTGACAGCAGTGGTTGACAGCTTTTTTTTTTTTTTTTTTTGTCTTACAAAGTAGATTCCTTTCTTCCTCAGTCCAGCCTTTCTTCCTTCCTTCCCTCAATCTGCAACTTCTTTTGCCGTTTATCCGTCTGTCTTTCTTTTTTCTTTCATTTCTCCTTCCTCCATTAATCCTGTCTTTCTTTATGTATTCTATCTCTTCCTCCTTTTCTTTGACCATTTTATGTCTTTCTTTTTCACTTTTTGACCTCCATTCTCCTTCAAGTTTTTCTTTATTCCTATCTTTCTCTTTTCTTTCACTTACAGTCCACCCTCCCTCTCTTTTTCTCAGTACCCTTGTTAAGTTGTTTAAATGCCAGCCTGCAGATCAGATATCATCAGCTGCTCTCATTAATGTGTTTATTTAACAGGCACTCAGCTCATCCTCTGGTGGCCTTGAATTTGACTCTGAGTCCTCCGCTTGTTTGTGGGTGTGTCAGTTTGTAGATCTGAGTAAAAATAGAACTTACAGTTACACGTTATGTCTGTTTCAGAGTACCTGATCTACTTGATGTCTGTTTGCCCACTAATGAGATTCCTATCTGTGGGCTTTCAGTATCTAAGCCACTTTCCAGTAGAATTACTTCAAGTTTCTTTTATTTTTTACTTTTGGTGTTTGAGGTCTTTTGCTTACCACATTTCCTGTGAAATAACAAACACGGAAATGCCCTGCGTCATCACCAAACAATGCTCATACGGTCGCTGCATAAATTTGAGAAACAAACAGATGAAACTGTGGATGAAGCTCAAGCTAGTGCAATACACCAAATAAAAATAGTTATACATATTATTGTACATGGCCACATTAAACAAAACCAATAAAGTAAATCAAATATCACATATCTAACAATCAAGTAGCAAATTACAGTACAGCAGGACTTCATCATACATTTACCTTTTCAGAAATGTTCATTTCTGTCCCAAGTTAACACATGGAGGTAACATGAACTTAAATAAAACCCCAGCTGCTTAGTTTTCCTGTTTGTTTTGTGTCGGTTGCAGGATGGTGATGGAGGAGGGGGGTCAGAGAGACAGAGGGAGGGGAACTCCAGCGACAGCAGAAGAAGGGAGACAAATCTTCAAAGAACTTGGTGAGTATCTTTTGTCCCCATATCTATATATATATATATATATATATATATATATATATATATATATATATATTATGTGTATTTGTTAAAGGAGACCCATATAGCATGTAAACCAATTCCAAAACCACAGTGTTTATGACCCAGATGTGGTTATATGAGCATTATAAAAAGACAACGACAAATGCATTTGAGAGAGTACAAAACAGAAACTCAAAAGTAATAGATCAAAACATAAAACACATGTTACACTAGATCAGGGGTCCCCAACCTTTTTTCATCTGAGAGCTACTTTCAAAAAAATGAAAGTGGCCAAGGGCTACTTGCATCAAATCGCTTGCATTTATTTACATAGCTCAGCAGAATGAAGCTACTGTTTGTAGACGTGTGAAATTGCAATAAGCCAATACTTATCAATAATCTCAAATTCACATCAATGTCCAAGAAAACATTAGTTCTTCATACTTGTTTTTATGGGCCAAATATATGAATAGTGGGAAGAGGTGCATTTACCGTCGTCAGATTTTTATTTTTATTTTTAACACAGTCGGTCAACCTAAAGGCGAGCTCCTGAAAACCTGCCCGCGAGCTACCAGTAGCTCCCGAGCTACCTGTTGGAGACCCCTGCACTAGATCATTCAGAACTTCATCACCAAAGCATCTCTGCAAACTGTTTCAGTTTTAGTTTAATTGATCCTAATCATTTAGGTTAGATAGTCCACATGTTGATGCCCTGAACAGCTGTGTGACTGATAAAGCTATAGTAGATAAACAAGTCGTTGTGGTAGTTTATTTCACTCTGTACTTACATTTTGACTCAGTGAACTAATATGCATAGAAATGTCATATCAAGCACAAAAAATCAAACTGAGGAATTCCACTTGCATGAAATTTAAAAATGCTGACTGGGAAAGGTGTAGGCTTAATCACGAGCTCATTATACCTACACTTTTAACACTTTTAGTATGAATTTCACTTCTAGCATCCAACTTTACAAGAACAAAAAATATAAAATTTACAACTTTGAGAATTTTGTATATCTTGTATTTTCTCTTTACAATCCACATTTAATGTATGTAGCTACAAATAGTTCAATATAAAGAAAAAGAATCTTATGAATAGTTGTGGTCTGAGATGGATGAGATCGTCATGAGCCCAGAGATTCGACATGATGACCCAACTGAGTTTATAAACGTCTTCTTCTTTCTCACAGGGGATCAGAACTTGGATACCATTTGTCTCTCTACCTATCGAACAGCCTGCAAGCTCAGATTCATACAGAAGAGATGCAACTGTAAGTCAACACTGTTCTTTTCCAGCATGCTGACAACACTCAATAAGAATGACAAGACTGTGTTACGTTGAGTTGATTTCTGTGTCATCTTAAATGCTCGAAGATTCATCTTGAATTTCTCGTCTTGTCTAACAAGTATTCAAAAAGTGTCATACAGAGATTTCCCTGTCAAATATATTGTATTGTAAATAAATTGACTTTATTAATTACAATTGCTGTTCGTAAAGTCTTGTATTGTAAATAACAATTTGACACTTACATAAGCTTTTTAAAATCACTTGTGAAATCCTTCTGTGTGAACATTTCCCTAACCTGCCTCCTTTAATTCCAGTGCACCTGATCGACATATACAATGTGATCGAGGCGGTGCGAGACACTGGTCTGAACGCAGTGGAGCTCCATGCTGGCATCTCTGTGGTCAGACTGGAGAACCTGGTGTCCTCCCTGTTCAACCAGCTCAGCAAGCGCCTGCCCACCACACATACCATCAACGCTCGAGAAAGCACCGTCCTGTTAGTGGAATTCTTACTGGCTGCCATTGACAGGTAACTTAAAACTTATTTCTGGATATTCTATCTTGAAATCCTCTTGTTTCAGTATGAAACACAAAGCCATGCTTGATAATTTCCCATGTGGTTTAATGTAGAAGAAGTGGTGACATATGACATGGAGTCTAACGTGTCTTTATGTTATTTTTGTTTCAGTGAGCCAGAGAGCCGTCTGACAGTGCTCTCTGTGAAGGCGATGCTGTCCACACTATGTGGAGGAAAGCTGATTGATAAACTCCGCTGTGAGTACTGGTTGATATCGTTATAAAAGATGAATTATCCTGTGTTTCCAGTAAATACTCAAACTTTCCCCAACCTTAATAATTTCCCATGTGGGCTCTGGGTGCAAACAAGGAAATGGAAATAGAAGTATTGATAGCATAACAGGTGCAAGAGAATAGTTTTTACTTTTATTAGGGTCTATCAAGGGCCAATCAACATCAGTAAACATGTTATTATACATAAGAAAGCATCATTGGGCAAAAATCATTCATGCAAAAATTAAAATGTAACAAAGTCAATTACAAAAAGACACAATACATATGAATTTAAAACTTTCAAAACTTGAATAACAGATTGAAAAAAACTAAACTTGATGCTGTCTACCTACTGTTCCACTAAAAAATCATTTAAAATGTTATTCATTTTGATCTTTATTTATGTTGTCGGAAATCTTTCCCACATTTGACCTGATGTTATTTATAATTATTTTCAATGGTCCCTCTTTTTTTCAGTGTGAATGTATGTAATGTATACACGTTACATATGTGCCACCTTGTGGAAAATGCAGGTCAATGCTGCTGTTTGCTCCCATTTATTTTACCTTCCCTGTTTATCAAAACAAGAATGTGTTAACATGAGTCACAATTTGGGAAAAGACTTGGAAAAAGTTTGTCTGTCATTTCTAACTATGAAAAAGAAGGAGATAAGTTTGTTTAGGAAAAATGATCAGAGTTCAGGTAAATGTTGAGGTGTATGGCTTTGGTCGGAGTTAGTGTCTCATAATTAATTGAAAGGCTTGACAGCGCTTTTTGTGTTTCTGTAGATGTTTTTTCTCAGGTATCAGACTCCAGTGGTGTTTTGGTACAGTCCAAGTTTGACGGATTTCTGAGAGAGGCTCTCAAGCTGCCTACAGCTGTACATGAAGGACCGTCCTTTGGCTACGCACACACTTTAGCCCGCTCATGCTTCCCTCAACAGGTACACTCACACACCATCATCACCCATTCTTTAATATCTATAGATTTCTTGTTTGATTTCTTGTGTTATATACAGTTTTTTTCAACAGCTTGCATCTTAGGCAAAATATTTGAAAAAGATATGTTAGTTTTTCATTTTCAGATTTTTATGAAGATTAGATTTTTTTGTCCCTAACAAGTTTTTTTTATTTTATTAACTTGTCATTAATGTAGAAGAGGGTGATGCTCAACATGTTCCTGGACGTCATCGCTGACCCTCCTCAGTGTCTTGTCTGGCTGCCTCTCATGCACCGCATGGCCAACGTGGAGCATGGTGCGCGCACACATACCACACACAACAAAGACATGCACACAAACTTCACCCACCTTCAGCTCTAATTTACTTACAGCGCTGTTAATTGCAAGAAACATTTTTATAATCAGCAGTTTGTTATATAGTTGCCCTTTGGCGCTATGATATTGTACACGTGTGTTGTTACCATTGTCAAAGTCGAAGTCAACTTTATTGTTAATTTCAAAATATGCCAGACATAAAGTGGAATTGCGTTTGTCTCCGTCCCGCGGTGCAATACAACCAACATAAGGTAAAATAAGATAAAATAAAATGAGGTAAAATAATCTAAATAATATTTACTGTAATAAATTCTAAATTGTGCAAAAGGTACGAAAATGGTAAATAAAATAAAATAAAATAAAATTTGAAGAAAAATTAAACTTGTGCAATGTGCAGTAAACTGATTGTACTTTTGAAAAGTTAGCTTCAGAGAAAAAAATAGTTTACAATAACCCTTCAAAGGATGAAAACAGAAGGTTGAACAAGCACTTCATCATAACTGAACAAAATGCTTTAACGTTTCCACTGACATGTCCTGTCTCTCTTCTCCATCAGTCCGTCATCCGGTCACGTGCTCCTATTGTCGCGGCAATGGCATGACTGGCTTCCGTTATCGCTGCCTACGTTGCCGTGGTTACCAGCTCTGTCAGGACTGCTTTTGGCGCGGCAATGCCAGCGGCTCTCACAGCAGTCAGCATCAGATGAAGGAGCACTCCTCCTGGGTGAGTCAGTGTGTGTGTGTGTGTGTGTGTGTGTGTGTGGGCTGTAATGAACCTTGAGAGGGAGGACTTGGGAAGTAAAACACAAGTTGACAAGACATTTTTTCTGTACTGGGGGCGGGGCTTTAAAGACAGAACAGGTCAACAATCTGGTTTAAGACAGGTGTTACAATAAAAAACAGGCAACACATCATCTCAACATGTGACGAATATCCTTTAATATATCTTTACAAGAAGCCAAACAGATTTATTTCTTCTCAAGGTCTGACAACTCTTTGCTAAACATGTGTTAATTTCCTAAAGGGAATGAAATGTTTGAATTTTAAGTGTTATTCTTAAAGCTAGCCTGAAGGGGGGAATGTTCTCAATGAAGATATTATGCATTAATAGATGGAAACATAGTCGTTGAATTATTCATCATAACCCAGGCTTGGCATAATTTGGTTTATTAATGTTTCAGTTTCAGAGATAAATCTCTTCACTAGTGCAGCTTCTGCCGCTCCAACAGACTTTCCTCATCACAGGGCCGAATAATCCAAACAATCCTCTGCAGACATTTACATATCATCTCCAACACGAGTCAGTTTTGTGCTCTATTTTATTCTCCGTTGATCTGCCTTATTTCAGTTTTTACTGCACAAATTATTTGATTTTGACTAAGGACAAAAAGTTTCTTCTCCTGTCTGCTTTAATCTGTGCTGCAAAATACGACACCAGAAGATAATCATCTGATCTTTTAATCTCTTAGCTTTGAAAAGGTTTAGTTTTCTACGAATGTGATGTTGAGATAAGAATATTTTCATCTCCCTCATCATCTACTCAGCAAACTGTCTGTTGATCTGCTCATTTATTTTGATCCCTGTAAGCAGTCACCAGCACGACAGATCGCCTTCCCTTGAGTCTATTACAACTTATGTTATTATGTAGATGAGGTGGTTTAAACATTACATATATTTCTCTGATACATTCACTTCCATGCATGTATTGCTTTGTTTATAATATCATACTAACTTTGATAAAACTCACTCTAATCAGCCTATAATCATTTCAAAACATTGAGGCAGACATGCATCATACTGAGACTTCCTAAATCTCCCCGATCACGCTAACCGTGCTGATATCACCTGTTACCTGCTCATTTGGATTCAATTAAAAGTCAACTCAAGGTTCCAGGTTTGTATCAGGAAAGAGAAGTTATTTAGAGCAGTAATAGTTATTCTGTTCATTGTGGTCAGCCCTGATCTGAAATACTGTTTTTAGTGGAAAAACAGTAAAAACCATTCTGTGTTACAAATATCAACAAAGTCACATTGTTCATGAACGCTCACCTGACCTCTGTGTGTCTGCATGTGATGTGTGGGTTTGCAGAAGTCACCAGCGACAAAGCTTGGCCGAGCCCTGAGCAGGACTCTGGGCTGTGTGTCGTCCAGAGAGCCCCCTCACCCCATTTACCCCGAGGAGCCCGAAAGGACCCTCAACCTTGCCAACATAGTGTAAGACCCCACAACATCTTACACCCTCACTGTACCGTAGACACATGGGCTGCTTTTATATTTTTATAAAAGAACATCAAAATAGCATCCATTGAGGATTTTATTGATTCAGTTGACAACTTTTACCATCAACACGGATTGGATGTAGAAAAGAAAAGAAAAATCCATTCACTGTTCAGTTATAGAAGATCTCATGCACATAGTTAAATATTACAAAGAACAGTTTGGTCTGTTAACAGTAGTACATTTTAAAAGTACACACAAGGTCAGTTGGCACCCTTAAGCCAACCGCCTCGGTAGCTCCGCCCCTCGTGGCGTGTCACACAGTTTGATTTTCCAAACATCAGTCGACTGGGTCACTACAAACCTCCAAGCACTGGGCACGTATTCAGGCCAGCACTCTGAGAGACTGCACTGAGCACATAATGTGAGTATGCTCAGAATGGATCTACGGCAGGTCTATTGCTTTACCAAACTGTTATATTTTTAAAATATCTTTCCGTGTTTTTTGCCTTTTACTTTAATCTGCATTCGCTCCCTTTGCTTCTCTTTTGCCTCTGGTGATCTTTGCCCTGTCTGTGTTTGCTCAGACTAGCACAATTCACCATTGCATGATTGCACCCAAAGCACGTGAGAGTGTGTTAGTATGCGAGTGTAAGAATGTGTGTATTCTGATAGGCAGGTCTTTGGGATTTTGAATAGGTTGTGCACTCTGAGCTGTTGACTTAATGATTTGACTGTAATGTAGAGAAACACATCGATGCAGGGGTTTATTTTTACATTTCTTACCAAGATTTATAAAGTCAGATTTGATTTATTAGCTCAACAAGCCATTTACGGTTTTAAATCAGCCCTATACCTCTCAGGCTGACATGCAGTCAGCTCCTCTAGACTTTTCTAAATCATGAAAATGATTAATAAAATAATCTTCACACCAATAGAATGATCTTCATTGAGCAACCTCTGCCTCAGGTATCTGCAGCCCAGTGGGGCTTGTCATCAGCAAGAATCGTGCAATTCAATATTCATTAGGTTGCAGGGGTTTGATTCATTATGTTGTGAGAAACTGTGTTCAGGCAATATATTCCAAATCCAATAATGGGAAAATTGTATTCAGAGCACTCCCCTGTATGAAAACAAAAGAATATAAAAAGGTTTGCGTCATCAAAAAAAACACTCTTCTGTTAGAATCAAGTGTATTGATATTTGTCCGGTGACCTCTGTACCACCTGAGTTTTACCTGTAAAGAAAACTCTGAATCATCTAAGTGCATGAGAAACAATGAATAACATTGGCTGTTTTTCTCTTTTTTTGAGCTTTAGTTTTTTCAGAGTGCGATTGCAAATACACAGGTTACTCTGTTTTTGACTCACTTACGCCAACTGAAAAGACATCTCACATCTCACATCTGTGTATTGTGTTGTTAAGGAGTCACTCAAAATGTCAAAATTATTGACAATAAAGGGCCCAAATAATTTTTCTGTATGTCTCTTGTGTGTGCAGCCCCACTCGTCCCGTTAAAAACACCAGTGAGGCCATGTTGCTGTCCTCATCGGCACCTGAGTCCTCCAAAAGGTAAACCTAAAGGATAGAAATAAAACATTTATAGTATTTGGGATGTTTTGTTCTTCCTGATTAAAAAAAAAAGGTTTGCACATTTCTTGAGGTCATTAATGACCTGCTTGAGTCAGCATAAAATTGCCTTCTCTAAAGGTTTCCATCATTCCTTGTTCTCTATAGATAACTATTTTATGATGATATGGATTACATTGAATAACTTTGCTTTTGGGGCACAGAAGGAGGTAAAGAAACTATGTTTATATTAACCTAGAGTTGATCATGAGCAATGGTCTGCAAATATCTTGTCTAAATAAATATACACTACTAACACTTACGGTGTTACACAAGGTGAGATGATTCCAATGTAGGAATAAGTTAAAACTTAAAACATAAAGTTTAGTGTGCACTTAAGACTGGTGCAACAGACCACAGGACTTTTATTGTTTCATAACAGACCGTCTTTCATACCAAACAAAAACAACAACACTACAAAACAGTCATTCTTATCTGATCCTTTTTTTCCCCTCATCTAGTTTGGCAGCTGCTCAGCGTATGAATGAGGAACACGCTCTGATAGCTGCATATGTGAATCGTCTTCAAAGCAGCCCAAGGTGAGAGCTACAGGGTCATGGAAGGGGTCAGGTCTGATGTCTGATGTCTACCTAGTCAAACTATAGCCAAATTAAGATTATTATCATCACAGTAGAAAACAAAGAAACATACTGTTTATGTTTAAATATGTGCATGTTCCCATACTGCCTTTCTCCTGCTACAGGGACTTGTATTTCCCATCTGACACCTATTGTTACGAGCAGATAACATCTGACACATTCAGTATGAATATTTGACAACTGCAGAAAAACTGGTTCTGAGAAATGAAAAGCGGTCAGCCTTTGCTAATGGTCCTGCTTTGTGTGTGTGTGTGTGTGTGTGTGTGTGTGTGTGTGTGTCTACGTGACAGTAGTGTGGACAGTCCCAGCCGGCAGGATGAGGAGCACAAACTGATCGCCCGCTACACCTCCCGACTGGCAGAGACAGACAGCTCTGGAGTGAGTCACTTACGCCTTATTCCTTCACTTACACAGTGAACTGTATTAAAACCTGATCAGGTACCTTTATGTTACAAACACACAAAGCTTTGTGGTCTCTCTCTGATCTCAGTGAAGCAGCTCTAAACTAAAATCTACTCTCAGTTGTTACATGATTAATGATCAACCCAGAGGTCATGTGTAACCATTCTTGTGTTTTTTTCTTTCAGGTGATACCTAACAGAAGCATCAACTTCGATGTGAACAAACAGAAGAGGGAGCTCATCGCTCAGCTGGAGTGCAAAAACAGGTATAAATGTGTTAATAGTGAATACGTTAGTCATTCTGACTTCTGCTCTTGTGTGTCTGTCACTTAGGAAAAAAAACGATTTGATACATTAATAAAGATAAAATGTTCAGGAACACTTAGATCTTCTAAATGTTGTACCCTTGTTTAACAAAAGACTCTTGAACTGTGCGTTTAGTTTCTCATGTGCACATTCTCATTGCAACCTATTGATTCATATTGTACCAATGAGCAAAAATGTATTCTCTCTTTTTGCTTAAAGCAGCAATATCTAACTTTATCACCTTTAAATAAGTGTTTCAAATGTTGATTTAATTGCACCGTAATAACTTTTAACAGGGCGAATGGCGTCTCTCTCTCTTGTTCAAGAGCTTACAATACAAAAACAACAAGATCAAATAATGACAAGTCAAAAATGGATCTTAAATTGTTTGTAATACGTGTCCACAGAGTCCTGAGTAATAAAATCCAAAGGGAAAATGCTTCAAAGTGTTGGAGCGACAACCTCAAACTCATATGGGTTCCTGCTTACGTTTAAGTTTCTCCTTGTTTTTTGAGCATATTCAATAAATTCATGTAAAACAAAAATATGCAAAAGCCTGCATCAGTGTCTGAGTATGTTTATGTGTTCTCTCAGTCTGTTCAGTCATGTTACTCTTCTTCACCTTAGCTGACCAGTTTGTTTTTCATTCCCCAGAGAGATTCTGGCAGAGATCAAATGTCTCCGTGCACAGCATGACGCAGCATGCCAGGCCAGCCCAGAGAAGGGCACCACCAACCCGACTCTGCTCGCCGAGCTCCGTCTGCTCAGGTAAACTCAGACTCCACCATCAGCCAGACTTCTCAGGAGCTGTGTCGTCTGGTCCCCTGCTGCATGTACACATGTACTCACACCACTGTTTGTGTTTTTATGTTTTAACTAGAACCCACAGAAATCATACCCAAACATCTATTTTTAAAAAAACAATCAGAGTTCTCTATCTGCTACCCCTTTGTTTGCTTCACCGTGTGCCACAGTATCAGATTTGGCGGGAAATCTGCTTTGTTGCTTTGCTGCACAGAGGGAGAGTGCTTTAAGGCAGATGGTGATGGCAGATGGTGGCATTTTGTGTAAAGCCAATGTAAAATTCACTTCCAACATATTTATGCTTTTCAGTAAAAAAAAAAAAAAAAAAAAAAACTCAAAGGAAGAGGAGGGAAACTTGACATAAAACAAATCTGCCTGCGAGTGTGTTGCAGTAAATGCTATCTAAGAATTCTAGCGGTTTCAAGAGCTTATGTTAGTTTTTGCTCTGTTTATTTTCTTGTAATGTTTTTAAAATGCCATCAAGCTGCCATCAACTGCAGCTGAAAATATCTGACTGTTTAAATCTGGAACATTCAATTATGGATTGTATCTGTTGTCCATCAATCTGCATTGTTTCCCCTTAAAATAAATTAGATTGTTTTTTTAAGATACTGTGAGAGGAGCTCTGCTGCCTCTGTGTACAGACTGTCATCTGATAAAGCTGCATTTCTTTCTTGTTAGTGCAGTAAATTGAGACTGTATCAGTTAAACCTCATGATCTCTTGCCACCGAATGCAGTATTGACATCTGTTTAGAAACACAAGGGGGCGCCACATTCAAAAGTTTTTTTTGGTTTTTTTTCAGAACAATATATTGACTGGGATGAACTTGTATCTCAAACCGGAAAATTAACGTAACAAAAATCCTAATTTTCTGATGGCTCTGGTTATCTTAGCTGGGGAAGATTTTATTGCACGTGTTGTGAAAACTGAAAACAAATACATTAAACACATTATGGCCGTGTCTGTAACCATTAGTCAAGGTCACTACGCTCAGTTTGATGTGAACTTGAGGAGTATGCACCAGCAGTACTTGTTTCCCCTCTTATTCATCTTATTATTAATGATACTATAGTAGGAAAGAGGACAGACGGCATATTTATAACATCCCAACATCACCGGATGTAATGGACATGATGGCAGCCTTTCATTTATAACAACATCAAAAAGAGAAATTTATAATCAACATGGACTTTAACAACAGGACGACTTGGAGAGACATTAAAATGCCAAACAAATCCGTTTATACTGCTACTGTTGGTGCATCTTGTCATGATTGTTACCACTTCCAACGTGATAATCTTTCCCCTTTGCTCACTAATATGAAGTTTCCACCCTGTCCAGTTACCATAGAGATGTTCACGGTAGATATTACCTTGTGGTTGGTTTCTCAGATGTATCTATGTTTTATAATTTCCTTGTTTCTGCTCTTTTTATTGAAAGAGTTTATGAGTTTGTCAACAGAGATTCAGCACAAGAAATTGCGTTTGAAAATAATCTCTAGTAAATGACCGTGAATAATGCAGATTAGGTGTTCTTCATAACTATCTGTAACCGGAGCTGTTGGAGGCTTTACTTTTGGATTATAATGACTCAAATCTGGAGTTACTGTATGACTCAGTCTCTTGTTTTACTTGTTTATTTACTCATTAATCCTGCCATGTGAAGGGAAGCCAAGCGGGAATGAAAGAGTTGGGCTCCTACTTTAATGTCCCATCCAGACCAAAAACCTTTTTTTTAAAAAAGAAAAAGAAAAGGACTGTAAACACCTCCATAGTCTTGTTTCTGTGTTCTGTTGTGAGTGACATGCTGACTCTTAAATCTTGGCCTCATTTTGCCACAAACTCACAGTGAATACTTCGAAATGATCATTTCAGTGCAGCTTGGATCCAATACTTTGAAGCTTTTGTGGCCTGTATGATGAACATCCCTGATGCGCCTGCCATCTGAGGACCATTATATGTTTGCTTTTAGTGCTTTGTGGTCGTCTCAGATTCTCATGACACTCTCAAATAACAGCCAGCTAACTTTGTCGGATTTAATGTCCACTGCGTCTTCACTTTCAACCCTGACACAAACAAGGAAAATGTGAAGGTTTTATGAACACGCACTTCCCCAGTCTTTGATCTCAAACCACAGTTTTCCATCCTCTTTTCTCCGACAGTTTCTGGTCTTTTTCTGGCAGTGCTCTGACATGGCTTCACCTTAATCCTACTTAAGAAACACCAGCTTCTTATTGTTCCAGAGAGATAACGTTTTGGCACTTTCCTGTGTTTTATCCGCCTGTGAACCTCCTTAGTCATGGTACAAACACAAGTAGCCAGAACCCGAGAGGGCTACTTTAAAGCCAGAGTTTATGATCCGGCTGATGGTGATCAGCAATGTTTATGTGGCTTTGCCAAATGATCAATGTACTAACTACCGGTAATTGAATTTTAGGATTCATGACGTGCATGAAGTGTTAAACAAGTCAGTTTAATCCTAGACATCTTAGAGGCTCAGCTTTCTGTCGTTTTCTCATCCTGTGTCTTTGTGCCTCTGTAACCTCAAATTATATAATTTGTACTGTTGTGCTATGTTCTCTGAATCCTTTGGTTCTTTAATTGCTGCCTCCATACACTCTGTCATAAACAATAATGGAGGTTTGCTTTTCTAATGCAGACAAAGGAAAGATGAGCTGGAGCAGAGGATGTCGTCTCTGCAAGAAAGCAGGAGGGAGCTGATGGTACAACTGGAGGGACTGATGAAGCTGCTCAAGGTGACACACACACTGAAAGCCTTTCTTTTTTTTTTTCCAGCGTGGTGTACTGTCACACTCTAGAGGGCAAAGCTTCCTATTTTTCCTCACACTTCTATGTGTCGGTCTTTGCAGTAACAAGCCTCACTGTTCCTTCTGCTGTTTCCTCCTGAATAATTCCACCTTTTTGCCCAGAGCTGATTGTCTCTAACCTCTTCTCTTTCCATCCTTTTCTTCCCTCTTTGTTTCCGACTATCCATGTTGTGGCCATGTAGGATGAGGAACAGCGACAGGCAGTAAGTTCACCCCCCCCCCCTCATGTTTGACTCACAATGGTGTGGATGTGGGAGTTAGCTCTGACGTCATGCAGTAATGTCAAAGTCAGTCAGCTTTACAAGCAGTGAGGGAACGGCTTCATTTTTCCAAGAGGGACATGAATTGTGGCTCTTTTTTTACCAGCAGTTACTAGAACTGTTACTACATTGTTGAATTCATGTCATATGCTACAGAAGTGACAAGTTAGATGTTTCTTAACGCAGAATATCTGTAACAGCTCCTATAAATCCCTTTCTCAGGCACAGGCAGCTGGCTCTTCTCACGCCTCTCCTTCCAGACCGAGCCCGTCAACCGTCCGCTCTGTAGGTGCTGCCTCTCCCCAGGTTCACATGTACCCTCCTCAAGACTCCCTCGCTGGGGTGGGGGGCGACGTACAAGAAGCATTCGCTCAAGGTAAGACTCGACTGTTTTTCTTTTCTAAAAGAATTCCTTTATTTATTTATTTTGTTCACCACACAGAACAAATGTTTCTGGTGTTATCCTAACAGAGTTTACATGTTGTTCCACCACTTAAGCGATTTTTCTGTTAGTTTTAAAATATACAAACAAGTACGCTCTTCTAAACGTTTCACCTGAGGCATTTGAGGCAGTCTTTAAACAGTCTTTAAATTAAGCAGTCCTTTTTTTTTTTTAGGTAATGGCCATCAGTAGAAGGATGAACTATGAAGGCAGTATGTTTAAGAAATTGGGTGTTTGTCTTTTTCTGTTCTGTGTTGTTTTTTTGTTGTTGTCTGCTTATTGTCGTGGTGGAATTTTATACTTTTAGGTTAGTCTGTTAAATATTTTAATGTGTTTATATTTGTGAAATGTAATAAAACTTACTGCAGACTTATCAGGTTAGCAGATGACCTTGATAAAACATGTTTGTATCAACAATTGTGGTGTCGCTATAGATGTGTTTACTGCATGTATTTATTGAACCAGCTACAGTAGTTTCCAGCCAATGCTTCATATTAGTTTAACCTTATTAGCAGTTCACGATGCGCGGTAAATCTTCAGTCTGTAATATCCACTGAAAAAACTCAACCCACTGACAAGAACAAATAGTTGAAGGAGAAACCCATTTCTCAAGGAATTGTTGTGTTGAAACAGAAATTATTCAAGTTGTCAGAAAACATTAAAATAAATCAAATCAAGGTTTATTCATCCTGCCAAAATAAAACACAAGGGATGGATAAGCAGCTTCTCTGAGCTGAGCTGTGTGTATGTGTGTGTGTGTGTGTGTGTGTGTGTGTAATGAATTCTGTTCTGTTATAGACGCGCTCTTGAGAAAAATGTGTTTGTTTAAAGTGATGAAGTACCGCAGTTTTGCAGTCATCATTTAAAAAGCTTCTCCAGAATTCATAGCGCATCATTTGCAATGAGGTTTTTTAATGTGTGTTTGTCATTCTGTTATTGTCTGTGCCCGAGTGATACAGTAGAAGAGTGTCATTCTGATTTCACTTGTATTGTAATTCAAGAACTCAAGTAATTCATTTTCACAAATCCGTCTTATTAGTGTAAATCTGACTCTTCATTTCAGGCCCCAGAAGGAACCTGAGGAACGACCTTCTGGTAGCAGCCGACTCCATCACCAACACTGTGTCCTCCCTGGTCAAAGAGCTACACTCTGGTACACACACACACACACACACACACATACCAACACTAATGCACATCTGTATATCTGCACAAACACATTTTCATCATCAGTTTCAAGTTCCAGTTGCTGTTTTGATGTCTTTGACCCACATTTCATAAATAAGGACAAAAATTATGTTAACATTTTTGTCTCCCAAATGTGTTCATAAAGCTTCAAATTTGTCATGTTTGCTTTACAAAAACATTTAAATGTTGACCTCTGACCCTGTTTTCTGCCCAGATGATGTTCGTGAGGAAGAGGAGAGACTGCTGAATGGGAAGGACAGAGGTAAATCTCTTCAGCGTCTCCCGTTCTCATTACACCTTAAATTAGTATCCTCCTAACATGCTAACACAATCTCACACTAGCAGGATCAGTTAGTGCTCTGCCTATGCTCTGGGACCAACATGGGCTGCATCCGTACTGCTTCATTTATATATCTCATTAACATAAGAGAGGCTAATCTTGAAACCTTGCGTAACGTTCCCGAGATGTTCTCTGAAGGTGAATATTTCCGGAGCCTTTACAGAACATTGGGAATGTTCCTGCAATATCCTCTTTTTAGGTGACGAAGGTGAGGCAGTTTTTATGCCTTTGACGAGGGCTTTAAACTCCCATTGTCGCATTGCAAAATAAAAAAAGAGGATATTGTAGGACAAAATGTTTCAGGAATTCAGATACTCTGCAGTTACTTTTGTTGTTTCACAAGTTAAAACTGTATTATTTTAACAGAGAAACCTCAGTAAAACCTCAGCATGGCTGTGCACAACTCCAACATCTGTGTGTGTGTGTGAGTATGATGCTCCTTTAAATGTTAACATCATATTCTAGAAGCCGGTAAATTCTTTAGATATAAAATCAAAAATCTGAACTCTTTTTTTTTTAAATGTTGTGAAGTGAAAGTATGAATTACTTTGATTTTGAAGTAGTTAATTAAAGGCTTTAAAGATAATAATAATAATGTAGATTTTAAGGTTTAAAAAAAAAAAATCCATGATTACGTATATATGGTGGAAGATCGAGTACAATTTTGACCTGGGATTAAAATGAAATACATTTCTGCAGTGCTATGACTGCAAAGGTACTCAGACCACTGCTTTCCTAAAATGCTTAATTTCTTTTCAAGATAAACACTTTGCTATACATGATCACTGAATTTCTGTTGAGATCAGCGTGTACGTAAAGAGCAGACGATGCTGAGAGTACTATCCACTCGGGGAGTTTCCTGAGAACTACACACCAAGGGGACTTTTCTCTGTCTGCATTCGCACCACCATGATACCTACTCTGAAGCAGGAGCTGAAAAAGGGGTCCTAGGAACTAAAATAGTTCATAGTTCCTGTGGTGCAGAATCAATAAAAAAAAAGGGGGGTGAGGGTTCGAACAGTTCCTAGAAGTTAATGCAGTCTGAAAACGCCTTATGAAGTCAGAGCATGTCTGATGGACGAACAGTGGATGACACCTTTCTATATCACCTCAAGCTTTGTGCTCTGTGTATAATGTTTTCATATCAGCGTATTTATCAATAACCTTTACACTGATCCCAGTAAATCTGTAGAAAGACCATTTTGGTTTGGATCTCCTTTCTCCTTCTGTTCAGAGCTAGGTCCTCTTGGTGTGTAAGAAGTCTATATCTCAGACTGAAACATTTGGCTCATTTAAAGTCCTTCTGGTTTACATTATCAGCCATTGGGGTTGGCTTTAGATGCACTTGTTCTCGCCGCTTTCCCCGCATGCTTTTCCGTGTCTGTGCAAAGTCTCCATCCGACTTCCCTTGTTCTCCAGGTGCTCTCGTCTGCACTGCAGCAAGCTTCATTAACATGCCGTCTCATTAGCCGTGCTTTATGGAGCCCCTCCTCTTTACAAGAGGACCGCCTGCAGAGACGAGACTTCCTGGTCGGCTCTCGGGGCTCAAACTAAACACTTTGTAGAATGCTAACCTGCTGTACTAACCCCGCCGACCCCAGAGCAGACAGACAGGAGGCCAGGGTTCAGCTACACGCTCCATGCAGTTAAGTTTTACAGTTTGATGATAAAATACTGTTTTAGACTTCCCACTATAAAGTCTCTTTTCTTTAGAGTTAGTCAATTTGCGTAGCACCTGCCAAGTACAGTTAAGGTAGATTGTTCTAGGCTAAGAACTGGTCTGGTTCTTATTACTGTCTCTGGCATTAACTCGTAGCTCTTTAAACTTAGCACTGCAACTTCTGCTTAATGTACCGTTGTGTGTTGTATGTACCTATTGGAACGCTGAATCACCTCTCTGCTCAACAAATTTACCTTTCGAGGTGCTAATAAAGAAACCTTAGCCTTAAATGTTAACGTTCTGTCTTTCTTTAGCAGGCTAAAATGATCGCAGGACAAACAAGAACGGTGAACGGTAAGTGACCAGTGAATTACCCTTTAATAAAATTATACTAAAACTGCTGTAATGCATGAAAACAAAATCCAGATCAGGCTAGTGAAGCCTAATTCTACTCAACTTTTTGTTCATAAATCAGTCAGTCAGTGTTCTAAGAAACATGGACTCTTAAATGTTTCTGCTTTAAACACAATGTCTGAATTGAAGTTGTGAATTAAGAACGGTTTGATGGCTCAAAGCAACAATGTGTTTATGCACATCATGAAGTTGTTTGCACAGGACTCCAAATGGCCAGTACTCGGCTCCCCCTCCTTTAAGTTAAGAAGTATTTAGTGACAGTTTATTTGAGTTCATGTACGGACTAGAAATACAGAACCAGTCAGAGGCAGACAGCAGGAAGGAGTCGCTGCTTCCTCAAGTGAGGAACTGAAAATTAGAACTCCAAAATGTTTAAAGACATTCATTTCATGATTTAATTGTTTTTATTTCTAACCATTACATACAACCTTTTTCTACTAAAAGACAAACAAATGTACTTTTTAAATCAGCCAACTTGATATCATGTTTTTAGTGGTGTTTACCATCTGAAAACTGACACAGGTTTTTGGTTAAATGTTCATTTGCTTTCTTGCTTGAGTTAGATGAGAGGATTGTTACCATTTTCATGTCTAGTGTTACATTTAAAAGCCAGAGACAGCAACTGGTTGATGTGAAATGGCAGAATGGTTAGCCAAACTTAATTCAAAGTTTTAAAAGTTTGCCAACCAGCACCTGTAAAGCTCATTAAACACCATGATAAATCATATAATATAAACTTGATGAGTAACTCTAAAGGGAAAGTAATTCATGTGTTTCAAAATAATAAAACATTTTCTTTCATCTTATTTGTCAGATTATCAAATAAAAACAAACTTCTGATTGGTTGTCTGACTGTTCTGTCTCTGTCTCCTCAGGCAGAGTGAAGTTTCATCACGGAGAGAGGAGACTGACCCTGCTGTGATGAAATGACAGCTTATGCATAGTTAGCCAATGGGGATTAGAGCTCCCCTGCCAATCAACCAATCACGATGCTGGACACCAAATGACCGCGGGGTCCCTACTGATGTAAAGCTGTTGATTCTGTGTGTGTCGTGTCACTGTACTTTTGATTTGATCACCGTAGCTAAACAGGGAAATCTGAAACCTACTGATTTGTACTGTAGCATGTGAGTGTGTTTTGTGTGCGCTCTGCATTTTCAAAGTTCCAGTAGGTGGGAGGGATGTTGTGAAGAGACAGAAAGATGCATTTAGGAAGCGTGTGAAGTAAAAGGAGCGGGAAAGTTTCAGAGGGATACGGGATGTTGCCGGATTGAAAAGAAAAGTGAGGAACGAACGAAGGAGAGTCAAAAGGACGATAAGTGAGTTTTAACGTTTTAAGTTTCGGCACTGTGTGCTTCGTATTTATTGCTTTGATTTGACTTTGGCTGTTTATTCTTTTTGGTTTAAATGTTTATGTGAGTGTGGTCGGGCCCTGCTGAGATGATAAGCTTTAATGGGACGTTTCCTGGCTCCTCACTCTGGCTGCAGCGATGCAGGGTGGAGAGTTGAAGTCCCAGTCGTGCTCCATGTTTCTGAAACCTGGATGAGATTAGATTAGCTCATTGGTGCTGTTATGATCACAGCTCAGGTTGTCCAGGCTTTTCTGTGTATCTTGGTACTGCAGCGGGACTCCCGTCAGAGAAGTTATTTGATTACTTTGTGTGTGTGTGTGTGTGTGTGTGTGTGTGTGTGTGTGTGTGTGTGTGTGTGTGTGTGTGTGTGTGTGTTTGTAAGAGAGAGAGAGAGAGAGAATATAAAACAATTGGCTTCAAACAGGGTCATTGTAGCACAGTAGATGGAGAAATTGGCTCCAAAAGTATTTATTGACATTTTTTAATGGTCAGTTTACCAAAAATGTCCCAACCCGAGTCTCCCAAGATAAAACATTAGAAATTTTTTAAAAAAGCAAAAACATTTGTTTCCCAAAAAGGTTTTTATTTTCTTCTGAATTCACTCCATTTGAACCCTTTTGTTATCAGCGTTTTTTTTTAAACTTTCACATCTTCAGGACTCAAAAACGTAAATGTTAGATTGAGTTTAAAGAGAAAAACAAGCATGTTAAGAACAACAAAAGAAGAAACTTCAAAACCCTGCAAAGAGCAAGCTCAACTTTTAGTAGGCAGGTTGGGCTTCAGTTCAGTGTTAACACAGTAATCCTAAAAAAACAAAAACAAGATTAATGATCGAGAGTACCAAAGATAGAAAACAATCTACAACACAAAAGTGTACAAACAAGTCCAGATTCAGATTTCTTTTGCCTTTTTTCCATCCTGACATGCAGATCAGGGCTAATCGTAGCAAAACTGTATCAGAGCGATGACATCACAGATAAGGGCCACAGCTTTAGTTCACAGTGAATGAGCTTCATTTAAAAATCACTGATCTGCCACTGATAAAATACTGTAGTGCTCACAGTTTACAGTATAGATTCAAAATGTTAAACTTCTTTGAAAGCAAAATCTCTCTCCTATGATCACCATGTTAATTAAAGAAACAGTCGCTGTGTTTTTATTAGAACGTTACAGTGGTAAAATAATAACCCTCATTAATCAAGGCATCGTTGAAGCTCTGCCCACTAAGGATTGTGGCTTTAAAGTTTTGTGCCCTACCTGTATGAGTTGGTCTGACGTATGGAAAAGAGCCAGAAAAGAAAAATCAAACTTCTTGGTTGTGTTCACACTGAAGCAGAATTGGAAGCTTTGTGACTGAATGTTTTTCTGACTGATTCTTTTGGAGTCGTCATTTGACCTTTTATGATTACAAGTTTTGAGCAAAGGAAATTCAACCAAAGTGTTTAGTTTTCATTTTCATTAAATAACGCTATCCTTGCAGGAAAATAAAAGAATAGTTTTTAGTTGTTTCTAAACACTGCCTGCACCGTATCACTCCTCACACTCTGCTGATCTTTGATGCCTTAAAAAGCTTTCTGTGAATGTCGACCACACGTAGCATCCCGAAACGCCTTCAGGCTGATGCTCTGTATGCAAATCAAACATGACCCAAAGTGACTATCTGAGCCTTTGTCAGGACAGGTTGATATATTTTCATATAACAGGCGTGAGATAATTAAATTCAAATAAGGTTTTTTTTATTTCTGAGTTTTGTTTGGTTCTTATCAGAAGCTGTACTTTATTGTTTTGTCCATTTGGATCAGTTGGACATAATTGTTTTTTCATCTCTAAAGACTCCACCAGCCCTTCACATGATTTGACTGCTTATGACATTAAACGTTGGCGTATGATTGACAGGCTGTGTGAGTGATTTCAGAAATGACTGAGCTCGTGTTTGGGTGTGTTTGCGTGAAAGAAAGAGAGAGTGAGGGAAAAAAAAAAAAAAATCAAGACTGACAGGACAGACGTGTCCGAACATGAAGCTGTTAACAACTTCAGCTCTGAATCTGACAGAGCTGACTGAGTGAAAAGTGTTGATGTATCTGTGTTTCATCTGCAATAAATAATATTTAACGTCAACCTCCTGAGTTTAGCCTTTGTGTGTGACTCCCCAGAAAACAACTGGTCGGGCAGCAACATAATAAAGGAGTATGTGAAGTATGATTCAAAAACACTTCCATGACTTTCCAGTACGACGTCATAGTCATGACCTCAACATTGTATTCCCTCCTGGTTCGCTTGTGTTTCTTCAAGGTCTGTTTCCCACTACAGTTTGGCAAGACAAACATTGAATGTAATTCATCTGTGAAACGAGCTGGAAACTTCACGCTGCTACAATCCCGTAAAGTAACCCATTTGTAAAGAAAAATCATTGACTTCTTTGTGAAAAAAGAACAATCAAATCTCAGGCTCATGCAACAACTCAAAGAGCCTCTGTGAACCCTGCAGGGAACAGGAAGTGCTTTTTTTTATTAACTTAACATGAACAGGCCTCAACAAAACATTACAAATGTTCCTCTTTTGTAGACTTGTGTGATCAGTATAACAGCTGGAGAGGATGCGTTAAATTTAAACTAAAACTCAAAACTCCTGATGTTAAATCATTGTTGTGAAATGTAAAGTAGTCTTTAGATGAACTTTATCCTCTCACAAAGTGAATAATCTGTCTTGGGCTCTTCACCCAGGCTGCAGCCATAAAAAACATCCAACATCAAACTGTATAGTAATAATAATAATATTTATAACAATAGTAAATTAGACTTACTGTATAAAGCACTTTTCTTAATATTCAAAGACGCTTTAACACTAACAACAAAAACAAAATGACAAAAACAATACAATGCAGATGTAATGTAAAAGCAGGAGGATGAGGGTTGTGATTGTTAGTGGTTGTAGGCGATGTTGAAGAGGTTTTTAAGGGTTTCTTGAAGTCTCTAATGTTTATTGGGAGTGAGTTCCAGAGGGTGGGAGCGGCAATGGAGAAAGCCCTGTGTGTTCCCCCCCCCAGGACTGATGGTTTGTCCCACTGTAGTGACTGAGAACAATCAATTACATTTTGTATATAATATATAATCATTTAAGATACAGCACAGTGAAATGCTATCCTGTACTTGTTCTGCTTTAAAATATAAATTAATGAATCACAACTGCAGGTTTGTTTTTCACTAAAGTTGTGTTTAATGTGAAGCATGTGACAGAACATGATTCATTGATAACACATCAGCACATTTTAAAGACAAACATCATTCAGAGTCATAAATAGTACGTCATGCAACTTGAACATTACTTATTACACTTTATCGTTTTAGCGTGGAGCTAATGTTAGCCTCATTTACGGTTTGGTGTTTTTAAAATTACTTTAATTTTAAACACCTGATAAGTGTACGAGTGTTTTACTCGTCATATCTTGCTCTGAAATGTTTGCTGAAATAAAACTAATTGTATTTATTTTTTGGGGACTTTTTGTGCCTTCAATGTAGAGATAGGACAGTGGATGGAGTTGGAAATCAGGGAGAGAGAGGGGAATGACATGTAGGAAAGGAGCCACAGGCTGGATTTGAACCCGGGCCGCCCGCTTGGAAGACTACAGCCTCCATACATGGGGCGCATGCACTAACCACTGCGCCACCAGCGCCCCAATTGAAACTGTTTTTAAAAAAATGTGGTGTAAAAAGTACAACATGTCCCCCTGATTTGTAGTTAGGTGGCAGAAAATGGAAGACTTCCTTGTGAAGAGTTTGTAGCTAGTTGTAAAACAGACAAAAATGAATACCGGTGCCTCTTAATGACCTTCATTAATAAAGGAGTCATGGGAGGTTGATTATTTCTGCACAGTTTTATTTTTAAAGCGTGTTACTGCTGCCACAGAGAAGGTGTTACACAAGGCAAAGCAGCACCTTACAGAAACAGCTTTTCTTTACATTTTTCAGCTCACAGATTCACAGAGAGTGATTCTTTTGATCTTTAGAAGTAAGCAGGAGAAGAGTTTTTTTTTATTTATTCATCAGGAAAAACTACTTTTGCATGTACAGGACAAGATCAGCAAAGATTAAAGACGTAGAGTTTAAATTTAAGACCTTTAAAGCAGCTTTGAAGTAAATGTGCAAAGCCTGCATAATGTAACCATTTTAGGAACATAAGGGATGTAAAGGAAGTATTTACCCCTTTACTGATCACACTAGTCAAGGGGGAGACACACTTTTATTTTTACATCTTCCTGTAGGCCAGTGTTTTTACATAACCCAGTTTCTATTAATAAACACTCCAGCTTAGGCTCCAAAAATACACCTTGTTTTCCTCTTCCGAGTAAGACTTTTAAACTTCCTCCTTGATTTAGTGTCCTCATTAGTATGGATGAACAGTTTTCACTTTTCCCATGAGCTCCCCTCAGAGGTCACGCCTCTGTGTGTGTGTGTGTGTTGTATATGTGCGTTTGTGAGGGTGTGTATAAGCGGGGAGGGGGTGTAACCTATACACTGAATGAAGCTCATTGAGGGTGTCTGTTGTTGGTGACCTCACTGGCTGCTATAAATAACCCCTCACCCACCATCTCCCACACTTGCTCACACAAACAGTTATGACCCTTTTTTAGTCGAGAATCTTTACACTTTCTTCTTCTGCTCCGAGGTCAAACTGAGTTGAACCTTCTCCACTGGAGCATTAGCTTGTCATAATGCAGTAAAAGTCCTTTTGATCAGCTTGACACTGAGGCACCACTGAGGAGTTTTAGAATCAACTAAACGTTTAAGTCAGGGAGCGAGGTGAACTTTGAAATGTTTGTGTGTTTACACCTTTAAATATAGTTTGTAATGTTCCGCTGCTAGGAGTCTCTCAATCTCAGTTCAGTAATCCCCATGACAAGAGAGGAGACATTTTTTTATGACATCGCCCTCAGGGTGGGAACGGAAATGTTGTTATAAAAGCTCTTTTAACGCTGAGATGCTTTTGTGCTTTAACATTCAACCCCAAACATGCGCATTATTGGTGCCCTAATGCGTGATGTTACATTGAGTTAGTGTTTTGTTGAAACATGCAAGACTGGATGATTAAATAAACAGCACAGGCTTCACGTAAACACACACACAGAAACTTTAGCTCACTCTGACATAATGATTAGGATTTCCCGCACTTGCCTGGAAAACAGGCGAACAAATACTTTGTATGGTTACCTTTAATGAAATAGTTCCTCTGCATTTGAACGTTACAGTACATACTCTATAATGTAAGTTACACAATTCAAAAAGGATTTACTTTAAGTTCTTGCTGTCTTTTCATGTAGAAATGTGACATATTACACTTTTAAATGTGAGGATTTCCATTTCATCTGTTAGGTATAGTGTGTGAACTGGATATATTTTAGCATCTAATTCTTAAGCAGACAGTAATAATAACACATTTTCTCTATTTATGTCACGAAACTAAATGATAGTTTTCTGTTTTAAGGACTTTTAAGAATGACCTTGAAGTACTATTTTGATCAAGTCTAATCTCCTAATGTGTGTCAAATGAGGAAAGCCACCATCTTTGCATTTTTTAAACTCAATCCTCATCACACTCTAAGTTAAAGGTAAATACCGCTCCATAATGTTCATTGACATCAAATAACTTTGCACATAAATCTTTTAATTCTTGCACTTGCTCCGAGCCTTTCTTCCTGAAACCGTTCCTCATTATTACTTCTTTACTCCTTACCCTCTCTTTCCTAGAATACTGTGTCCACAGCCACAGCTGTTAGCAGACAGGTTTCAACTTGTTGCATCAGGATTCTTCTCCACCTGCTGAAGAACCTCAGGGAAAAACAAGAGTTTGATCAAAAGACAGAAAAAAACTTGTCAGGAAAGACAACTTAATGCTTTTACTGTGGGAGACCGATAACATTATAATTAAGCACCTTTATGAACGACGTTATCTATTCATGAACTCAACCAAAGTACATTTTATATGGTGGTTCTCTCTAACCAGAGTCATCAGAGATTCATCTCAGATGATTCAAAAGATGGAAAATGAGAAAAGAACCTGCCTTACATTTTTTCTGATGTTTCTTAACTTATACCTTTGTGGTTTGTAAAAACAGGACAGATATACCTTTGAGCTATTTAAAACTAAACAAGAAGAAATGTAAAAAGGGAACATCAGTCTGATAGAAAAACAAGCAGTAGACAAAAAGCCTCATGCTGGGGAGCCGGTAGCCTAGTGGTTAGTGTTTGAACCCCATGTACAGAGGCTACAGTCCTACAAGCGGGCGGCCCAGGTTCAATCCAACCTGTGGCTCCTTTCCCACATCTCTCCCCACTCTCTCTTTCCCCAATTTCTGACTCACAAAAAGCCTTAAAATAATCCTTAAAATAAAAAAAAGGTTTCATGCTTGCTTACAGCATTTTGGAACCATACATATAAAAGCCATTCTTATATTAAAAAAAGGCATTTGGACAAGTTGAAAAAGTCAGAATTTACCCTGGAGTTTTCTTTATTCTGAGTGAATTTTCTTTACTTTTTCGCATTTAAGTGAGAAATTCCCAGAAACAATTTTAGAGCACAAACAAAAAATAACACTTGACTGACTTGATGTGTAATCAATCCATTAACATAAAAGGAGAATAAATGGTTGAAACAAGGAAGAATAAACTGACCCTTTATTAATGACAACATTACATAAATAGGGGATGATATTTTAAGATTATTTTCTCTATTGTGAAGAATGAAGCAGACGGACGGTCTGTAAGATGATTTTGATTGCTTGGCATTAAATCTAAAGTCCGGACCTGACCCTGATCTGTGGCTCTAAAGCAGACAGTTATACCTGTTTACCTTCAGGCTGCGACACTCTGACATCAAACGAACTGTATGACTACAAGAAGCTCCGGTTTCAAGTGACATTAACCCGGGTCACAAGTGAGCCTCTAGTCCTCCCAGTGTTCAGTACACCTGTTCTGTGTTATTACAAAGACCTGAACTCCTTTATTAACAATGTTGACGAAGAAAAGTTAGTAAAGACACCGAGATTCCTTTAGTGTTAAAGATAATCGTCCAACATTCATGAGTTTGTCTGATGATACATTTAGGATATTTAAGAAACAATC